GTCGATACCAGGTAAAACAGGGCACGTGACGAGAATGCATGGTCTTACATTAGAAAGATGATAGTATCCCCAATTCAAACAAATTCAGCTTGTACTTTTATGAAGTTGAGAAAAGAGCAAAGTGTTCAAGTCTTTGTAAATTTGAAGATGTGATATGATTGAAGCAATGTCAGGTTGCGTTTCTTGGTATTGGCAGACTTTTTCCAGATGACCTGGAGTGTATTGTTGACGCCAATGCTTGTAGGCCGAACAGATGGGCAATTAGAAAAATTTGCTTAAACTACAGATTCACACCGGTCTTGAGCATCGGTCGTTCCATGCAGTCCAGCCAGACTGCCTCCCTCTAGAAGACCCGACCCTCGCCAATAAACTCAAGGAGCTCGGCTACGCCACGCACGCAGTCGGCAAATGGCATCTTGGCTTCTACAAGAAAGACTGCTGGCCCACCAGGCGTGGCTTTTGATACCTTCTTTGGTGAGATAATATTTTCTGTAAGACGGCCCGCTGTACGATTCATCGGAGCTTGCTCCTCTGAAAGTGCAGTCGTATAAAGATGCAAATGCCCTAATACATGTATCGGGGACAAAACGGGACTGTTAAACTGAAGGCTGGATAGAATGGAAACTTGAATAGTTCTACGTGTTATAATCGATGCATTTTCAATGTTTGTTTTTCATGTGGACCTTTACATCTTTATCTCGATCTAAATGAAACACTTGTGAATAGAAATTGACCCATGCTGTGCTATTTTCTTAAAAGGGGCTGTTGTTATGGATGACCTGTTTTACCCGTTGTCTCATCTTGTCCAGGTTTCTGTACATCGGACATAGTGTGTCGATTATGGTTGTAGGTCACACAGGTCCCTAACAATACATGTGTGAGAAACGGTCCATAGCTGGTAAAGTCGGAGCATCAAGTGGAACTTTCTGCATGCAGTTTGTTCATTTTATCCTTGCATAAAATCAGTCCAATTTCCAATCTATTACAGGTTATCTCGGAGGAGCGAAGACTATTACACGCACATTTACAAGTGCGACATGCCAGGGTTCAATTGCAGTCAATGGAACCTGGGTACGATTTCAGGGATCAGGAGGAACTTGCTCCCAAGTACACTGGACAATATTCAACCCACCTCTTAGCAGAGCGAGCCCAGCACATTTTGGAAAACAGTCAGCCTAACAAGTAATGTGTAACAAACCTAACAGGAAAACAGAAAACTATTTCGATTTTAAAAAGGAAGTCGTTCTCTGGTTTAGAGGAAAAGTCATTCATTTTAAATATCAGTTTTTCTGAAAACTCGTGTCTGGTGCATACGCTTTATAATTCTGTGGAGTGTAATTAAGTGTCTTGAAAATCGTTATCGTATTTTTGTTTGACCTTTTCGTGCTCTTTTTGTGTACCAACAACGTTAGCCATCTTCCTGTACCTACCTTTCCAAGCGCCACACATTCCCCTGGAGGTACCCGACCAGTATTTGAAGCCATACCGAGAAGTCCAGGATCACGACCGACGAGTATACTCTGGCATGGTGGCCTGTATGGACGAGGCTATCGGGAACATCACGCAGAAAATGACGGAGCTGGGATTGTGGGAAAACACAGTGCTGATCTTCTCAACAGGTTTGTTAGTCAGCCGCCTGATGGCAGCAGACACAATGTATGATGTATGCTCAAAGTGAAGATCAGGATGGACCTCGCAAGCTGTCATAGTGACAAATGTTCGTGTTTTACACAATTACACAAACTAAAACTTTCAGTGAGCTTTGGCCTCAACTCATGAGATATTTGTGAATAATGTCTCATTCGTTTTTCTTAAAATGTACAAGTTAACACTTGTATATTCGGATTTCACTCTCGAGAAATAGTACTTGTTTTTTTATTTTAAAGCACTTTCCTTTTTTCCTGGTTTGTGCCATTTTCACCATTTGAAAGTAATATATTGGTAACGGGTGTCCTATAGTCACTTTCGATATTCTTTCACTATAAATTGACCTATGTCAAAATAGAAAAGTTGATGCACAGGATAGGTTATTCGGAAGTGGCCTATTATTTTGAATGTTTTTCCCTCCAATTCCATCGGTAGACAATGGGTGGCGAACCTATTTTTGGAGGAGGGTACAACTGGCCTCTGCGAGGCGTGAAAGGCACCTCTGGGAAGGAGGTATCCACGGTGTAGGCTTCGTCTACAGCCCACTCATACCAGACGCCATGCGGGGTACCAGCAACACGCAGTTGATACACGTCAGCGACTGGTTCCCAACCCTTGTAGCTGGGCTTGCCGGAGGCAGTCTGGAGGGTCTGCAACTAGACGGTTTCAATGTTTGAATACCATCAGGTGATTTATCCATGCCAATGTACCACAAGGCGTGTCCTTTACATCTATACCACGTACATGATATTACATGGTGAAATGCTGACTCGATATCATCTTTTGCGAACTTCAATTATGGACAAAATGCCGATTCTTTAGTTCTTATAAGGTAAAAGGAATTGGTCACTGATACAAACACACATCGATAGTGAAGCTAAATTCTGACTAGATTCCTCTTCAACGTAGAATTTTCAGTGAATAATTATCCTGACTAAAAATCAGTTGATTTTGACTTGATTTTCAATTGGACCTTTAGCTGATCCTCATTTGATCGATTCTCAGGCCACTCGTCAAGTTTGATGGTTGGCAGCAGAAAAACCCCGAAAGGCTATTATTTAAGAGCTTGTAAATAACCAATCATTGTCATTGGTACCTGTTATCGACTTGGCATTGTTGTTTCTGTGGTTTACTTGTGTGAATCGACTGCACTAGAACGCAAGAAAAGTTCGAAGTTCAAGTCCTATCTGAGCAGACCCGTTGATTTCTCAGACTAAATGAAAGTTACTCGATCGGGAAGGCAAAACATTTTTTTAAATGTTATTTTGTAAAACATCATAAGTCGAAAAACAATATAAATAAAGTCGTTAAAAGTAATGGGCAAAATTGAGCAAACATTCCAAAAACGAAACTTGCTCCATTATTATGAAATGTGCTACTTGATTGTAAGTTACAATAGGATCAAACATCCTGTGAAATCGTTGCGCCTGGTATGCTCTCATTTTTAAGAATGGAGGAATACCATTATTTCTTTGCGATGGTTAAACAAACCATATCGAGGAGTAACTTGTTTTTAAACACTGCTCCCAACTGACCGAATTTAGTTTGCAATTAGTTACATATCCGTGAATGGAAATATTTTTCCGAATGACGAACTGGCATCATACCACAAGAGGGTGCAAGTCAAAACGTATTAATGAACATTTTTTAACGGAGTCGAGAAACATGGAGATACATTTTCACTCTTTTTTAAAAAGAATATCTCCATCGCTGACATTTCGACAGTTTATTTTTTATAATAATTTTACTTTTATTGTTTTTATTGTTGTTTCTCGGAGCGGTAAAATATATTCATTTTGCAAAGGTGTCTACCTTTCAGCTTTGTTTGAAAACTATCGTATGACTCTAACATTTCTTTTTACTTCCCTTTTGTAGTCTAGGATCACCCTCTCCAAGAACGGAAATCCTGCACAATATCGAACCCTCTGACCCAGACATACATGTCAATCATTAACTGGTCACTCGAAGGGAACCAGACTAAGGACGATGACTTTTTCACCCCATCTGGTGCGTTCAACACCACTATCAGGGCTGCTATACGTGTTGGGGATTGGAAACTCCTAACTGGAAATCCAGGTGTGACTTAGGCCTACACTGATTTCATTGGCTGTCGTTGGTGGATTAGGGAATCTCTAAAGATAGCTTGGATTCAGAGTATTTAGGGCCCGTGATGAGTTTTTACATCGCGACGAAGGTTTTTTTTCTTTTCCCTTTTTTGGCGCAAGTATATGCAAATCAACTATCAACTGTATTATATATTCGTATTAAGAACGAATAGCACAAGCACGACCAGGCCTATTGCATTGCTGTTTGAAAAACTTAACACGTATTGTACAGGCTGTCACGCTATTCGTAGACCTTACCAAGATTTCTGAGAAAGTTGCAGGTACATGTTTTAAAACCTGACATCCACACTCAAAGGTCACAAGATCCATGGCAAAGGTTCCAAAAAGTGACTGAGAAAGTGTTGATAGATTTTACGAAATAATTTTCACGGTACCATCTTCGATATAGCTGATGGGCGTGATATTGCACATCTTGTGCCGTTTACGAATGTGTCAGAAAATCTCCTTTTATTAAAAGAAGCATCGTCATACGCGCAGCTACCACTCGAACCTTAGCAGGAGATTGATGCCGCGCACTGGATAGCCTGCCTTAGTTTATACATTATTTACTGGACAAGTAATTCAACTTGTGTTTCCTCTACATCGTATTTCACATTACACAGGATCGAGCAGATGGATACCACTTCCTGATTCAGGGATCGTGCCCATCCAACCAATTAAACAGAAAGGTAAACATGTTTGGCTGTTCAATATCCAGGAGGACCCCAATGAGTATCATGACCTATCTGAAGCCAGACCAGACAAGGTTAAGGAGCTGGTTGGAAGATTACAGCACTACTATAGTGGTCTAGTGCCACCGTTGTACCCCCCTGGAGATCCAAGATCGAACCCAGCCTTACACGATGGTGCCTGGACTAACTGGGAATAACACTATGTTGAATGCAGGGTTTTTTTTGGGGGGGGGGGGTGTTGTCAGGAACCCCCGAATTTCAAATTCGATTGTCAATTTTCATTAATTTCTTGGGTTTGCCTTCCAATGAAGTATTAAGAAAACCAATCCCACCCACAAAAAGTAGAGATAGAAAAGTTTGTCTTTCATTATTTAAAAGAAAGTGTTTGTTTTAAAGTTGCCCATCCCTTGCTATTTTTTTTTCCGGCCCGAATAATAAATTTTGTCAAATTTCTGGGATTAAATCAGTCATGAATTTACTCGAAATTCAATCTGTATGGTTTAATTTGTGTATTTTTGAATTTCTCTTATTTGAACGGAGTTTTGCATACCACCAAATGAATGAATCTCACATACCCATAGGAGGGGGAAGTTGTATGCAGAGAATAGAACACAAACCAGTCAAGCGAGAGATGCAGGCCTTTTAATAAAGAAAACGGCAGGCTCTTTTTAATAAGAAAACGGCACAAACGTCTATAGACACTACATCCTTTACCACTCAGTCTGCTACAAGAATCAGATATTTTATATTTTATGGTATCTTGTTTATCTTGTTTCTGTTATTTTACTGTCACTGTGATGATTCAGTGTGATTAACCTGATTAACCTGTCTCGTTTGACTGTTCATTAATTTTCTTAATTAATGTCTTAAAATGTTTTTATTGCTTTCCCCCTATTTTGACACTACCGAAAGTTTGTAATTGCTGAGCACCTTTGAAAAACAGTGTTAAATAATACATGTGTATATAAATATTTCATTTGTAAACATTGAATGCCATTTTGTATGGGCTGCCACAAGGCCATTAATTTAAGCTGTGGTTGGCAACAGATTTTGCCAAAACTGCATATTGACATTCTCATGTAAGAAATAGGCATTTTAGTTAAGTCGTTCGTATAGCTTTTGTTGTTTATTTTCTATTTTCAGCAACCCATTGATATGTTTGGAGAAAATAATAGCTAATCTTTATTTTTGCAATGTTGGCCTTGCATAATTTGCCCATCCGTTGTTGGCAGAGAACGGTATATTGTCAGTGAAGGACAATTCTTGAATGCAGTGACTGTCGCGTTTCAGTCAAACCGGATTTAGCAGAGTTAGGTTCTTGCAATAGTACAAGGACATATTGGTCTGGTTCCTATGTTCCTGTATAACGAATTTGTGTGTAAATAATTGCCGGAAATAAAGCCTTAGAACTTACCTGAAATCATGTCAAGATACCGTGTTTCAATTTTGAATCGGGGAACATAGCCGAGCCGTTTGTAAGTCAGTGTTCTTTGCAAAGGGCAAGGTGCTACAGAGCAAGGTTTGTATATTTTGAAGGGTCCCTCAGAAAAAATGGGGAGCAGGGGCCGATTTTTGAAACGCTGGTTAGACTCGGAAAACTGTGGCTTCTGGCATCGGTGTACGCCTGGCTCTCGCGCCTGCGGGTGACTGCAGCAATACATCGGCAACTCTACCGAACATCATCTTCATCTTGGCTGATGACTTCGGTTTCCATGACGTCGGTTACCATGGTTCTGCAATTAAGACTCCATGGCTGGACAAACTTGCCCGCTGAGGCGTGAAGCTGGAGAATTACTATGTCCAGCCGATTTGCACCCCGACGAGAAGTCAACTGATGAGCGGTCGATACCAGGTACGTCTTGACCGATGGAGGAATAACCTAATATTTCACAAGCACAGAAATCAGTCCAAAAAGAAGAAGCTGCACTGAGCTTGCACGGAGCTGTGATTTAATACAGTGGAGTTTTTATTCGGTGAAATTAGTGATATTTTTTTTTGCTTAGGGCCTTCCATTTTATTTGTATTGTTTTCATATTTTTTGCTTCTGAAAAACAGTTTGTCGGTAAAAAAATGAAAATCTGAGGGAACAAAATTACATTTGCAGACGTATAGATGTGTTGTAGTTTTTTATTGCAATGAGTTTATCATGACTCGATATCACTAAATAAAATAAAACCTATCTGGCAAGTTGTAGTTTACTAACTACGAAGAACGAAAAGAAGACATAGAGAAAAGCAGATTGAAAGATTTTGAAAGTTCCGTTTTATACTTTGGTGTCATATTTCTGCTGCCACAAAAGCATAATTTACTTTTTAATGAATAACATTTCTTATATCTGGAAGCAGATTTTACTTTTCCTCCTTTTATTGGCTGACGAAAGGTGGACATCTACTTTTCTTTTACTCGAGGAGCAGAAAATTCTATTTTCTGCTTTCCTCCCCCTAAAAAGCTAATTTTACTCAGGCGCCAAAAGTGGCCATTGATTTTCTTATTTCAGTGAAGCAGAAAAGCCGAGCGACGTTTCGACAACAACTTTGTATTCTACTTACTTCTTTTCAGATACTGGAAAAAAAGTCTGATTTTACTTAGCAGGTCCGGAAAGTGGCCAAAATGCTTTTCTGCTTTCAGATAGCCTTGGTCAAGACGTTCATCGTCAGTGCCGATGATGGTATCTGGCCGCTAACATCTTAACACGTACTCGCCCCGAGCTAGCTGTGCATACATACAATCCAACCTCGTCCCCAGTGCTTACTTTATTTCCAACCGCGTTTCCAATAGTAAACCCTGGATAGGAAACTTTCTTCCTGTATCCTGATTGGATACCGCAATTGGCTAGTAATGGATTTTTATCGTGTACTTGGTGCTATTATTCACAACGTGCAGTACGTGTTTTCGCGATCATTCGTCCACGCCTTCTCGAAAATACTAATTTCCTTTCCAATTTGCTCATATTAATATGAAATACATGTGTGATACTGCATGTTGTCTCGATAAGATCGTAACAGTTTGATTTCAAAAATCGTGTTTTCGTTACTCACGCCGTGCTCGCGCTGCTACGAATTGACTCTGTTTTTACCCCAGACACCGCATACAAAAACAAACGCTAATGTGTAACGCATAGCCAGGCACCAGACTGTTCCTCATTTGCATACGTGTGCAAAAATCTTGCACATGCGAATGATCCAATACCAGGGTGAGAGAGCAGGTAGTGGTGGGCGCGTACTGCTCGACACCCTGGGGACGAGGTTGCATACAATCGGATCCGTGATACAATGTACTCGCCTACGAAGCGCGAACTGCGACCTCTCGTGGCGCGGCTACAAATCGGTTGAGGAAGAACGAACCTTTGCGAAAACAAATCGCGTTTTCCTATTTCTTTTCCTCCATTTCGTCGATGGATTTCAAGTGACGACGTTTGCAAATACAGATGAGATTATTGTTGAGTACTTGGTCGTGGATGAGTGCTATGTTAAGATGAAATGGACTTATCCTAAACTTTCAATCTGCTGTTCTTCTATTGTTCACTATTGTCCACTATTGTCCACTGAGCAGTTTTCTCCATAATTATGACATTGTATCTGCACCAAGCAGTTCACTAACGTTTAAGTGGCAGCCATGACATACCAGTAAAGGTATTACTATTGACACCTAATGGGATGAGAGACAACATCCTCTCATCTTCTGGGATTCCACTGTTTGCTATATGCCAGACTTCGCCTACAAATATCGACGGTATTCATTTAGAATACCTTTTCAAATAGCACGGAGCCCGATTTTAATGGGGATCGGGACCGGGTCAGCGGTAATAAATAAATATTCTCGAGTCGGGAGCCTAATATATATGAGAACCAAATAAATAAACAAGTGCGAGTGTACTTCGGTGGCACCATATACTATAGGTCAACTTTGGGAACATTTCCTCCTTCTGGTAACGTCCAACCACTACACAAAATACCACGTGACTATACCATTATTGCACATTATTTTGCCTCCATTTACAAACTTCATAAAAAACATCTTTCCGAATTGTTACAAACAATTTTTGTAAAGTATTACACTTTGTTTGCTTGCTTTTTTATTTCAATTTGGTAGTTATATTTTTATGGGGAAACTTAGGGGCTTATTTTTGGTCAATTTTCGGGGACAGACCTATGCAAAATAGACGCGCATGCGCATGGATCTGCTAAAAACTGAATAATGTCACACCCTTTCTTTTAAGATTCACAATGGTCTTGCGCACGGAGTTATCCATGCAGTCCAGCCAAACTGCCTCCCTCTAGAAGACCCGACCCTCGCCGATAAACTCAAGGAGCTCGGCTACGCCACGCACGCAGTCGGCAAATGGCATCTTGGCTTCTACAAGAAAGACTGCTGGCCCACCAGGCGTGGCTTTGATACCTTCTTTGGTTTGTTTTAAATTAGAATATTTTGTTGACCTAATTCCGCAGATCAAAGGTTTACCTCACAAGCCCATCACAATGGTCACACACTAGTCACATAAATTGTGAAGGGTATTCCTCTGCCCATGCCATGTTACCTTTGACACATATGACTTACTCAAACTGAGAAATATTGGCGGATAAGGGGAGGGGGGGGGGGGGGTTGGGGGTTGGGTGGGGGGGGGGAACGGGGGGGGGGGCAACGAGTTCTTATGTTTGAAATCGGAGGAGAGAAGACACAATCTACACATGTATTTTATGTGCATAGAGCACGATACTATATGCCCAAGGCCCTCTTTCCCCCCAAAGTTTCTGGATCCGCCTTGAATAATACATGACAATCGAAACTCGCATTTGAAAAAGTCACAAAACAGGGAAATGAATGGACAAAATAAAATGCGAATAGCAATACAAAGACAGAAGGTAAAGGCATAACCCTTGTTGATTTCAATAATCTTGCGTGACAGGCTTTTACAGTGGCAGTCAACACTACTACACTCACCGACGCGGCTGCATGATGCCAGGCTTCGACTGCGATGGCCATTTCTAAGGGCTACGACTTCCGAAACCAAGAGAAATCCGCCCCCAGGTACGGCGGCCAGTATTCAACTCACCTCTTTGCAGAGCGAGCCCTTCAAATTCTGGACAACACTCGACCTAAAAAGGTAAACTCGACATCTGTTAGAATGCCAAGTACATTAGTAAGTCTTATATTAAACCTGATTATTGAAGCTTAATGTTCTTCAGTTCAAAGATACAACTACCCTTTCACGGAGCGATCGCTTTGTCTACAGATGTTGTCTCTTAAATTCAGTGAAAGTACAAAGTTTCTACTCATGCGTATCACATAAGAACAACGACCCATGTCCAGTGAGGCGCTCTTTACAACGGTCCACGCAGTCTGCGTAATTTTTATTCCTAGGAGGGTTAGGGCAATGTCATGAATAATTCATGTTTATCCATGAGAACAGACAATGACATCAACAGCATTGTTGTTAGTTACTCAACTAGTTTACAATACATTAAAGCATTTTAAAGACGGTTGTCGTCGAGCTACCACACAGTAGCCTAGTGGATAGCGAGATGAGCTATGGATACAAAGATCCTGTTCGAATCCACGTCGTCGCTGCTCATTTTCATCAACTATTTTCTTCTCCAAATTTATCACTGAAATAATTTTAAATTGAGGGAAAATAGAACGAGAACCTAAGTCTTGCAATGATTCAAAGGAAAAACTGAATTATTCATGACATTGCCCCTACCCTCCTAGGAAAAAAAATTACGCATCCAGTCTCGTTGTCATCAGAGGGAGCCACATTACCTGCTAGCCCCCAATTACTTACCGGGAGAGGGGGGGGGGGGACTATCACCCCCAGCAAAGCTCTATGTTCTTGATCCATAGTCATGCTGATGTACGTTATCAGAGGTTGAAAGTGAAAGCGCCAGGTAACCTTTCGGTTTGTGAAACAATCGGCAGACGTAGTCCGACTAAGTGATCTTTGCATACGAAAGCAACGACGCAGTTTTTGTGGTAGCATTTTGCCAGCTATATTTAAATACACATCCAATCTGTTATACTTCTGTGTACAATTCATGTTTAGGTTGGCTGTGTGTACATGTAATTGTATCATATCCACAACATTGACAGCAACGGTAAAGGTATTGATGCAGATTTCAATTGATTCTCAATTCCCAAAACAGCCATTCTTTCTATACCTACCATTCCAAGCCGTCCATTCACCCCTGGAGGTGCCGGAGGAGTACGTGGAGCCATACAAAGACGTCCAGGATCTAGACCGTCGGCTGTACTCGGGCATGGTGGCCTGTATGGACGAGGCTATCGGCAACATCACGCAAAAGATGACTGAACTGGGACTATGGGAGAACACAGTCCTAATATTCTCAACAGGTTGGCTTCAACTTCGATCACTTCAAAAGTTGTACCACCTAAATTAAAGTGGTACTTAATACTTGTTTTAGAAATCAATTCGCGATCTTATGCGTAACAGCCATCTTAGAGGGCAATGCATTGTTTTGCTGGGTTGTGCATGGGTGCACTATGCAGGAACCACCTTCTGACAAAACCATCCGTTCAGGCAAGGGTGGATCCAGAACACAATTTATTTTGGGGGGCCAAAAACAATTTGGTCCCCCAAAAAGTGAGTCCAAAAAGTTACGGCGTGGGGTTCGGGGCCCGCTTTAAAGGCCCCGGGTTTTTTTTTTTTTTTAGATGCTCTGAGGTGCGATCTGAAACAATTTCTGACCACTTTAACCAAATGTTGTTTGAGGAAAAGATGGTGGTGCAAGCAGTGCCTGCTTTTATTGGGCGTCACTTAAAAAACCCAATAGATGGGTTCTTTTTTTTGGGGGGGGGGGATGGCCTCCATTGGCCCCCCGAAATCCGTGGGGATCAGTGATGTTCTGAGGCTGTATTCCAAGGGGTCACTTTTGGGCATCATTGTGTTTGAGAAGGCGCTCAATGTTTTTATTTCTCTCCAAATGCTGAGCGGAGGAACAAAGGGTCACGTACCCCGAGCCGGGGATGCCTCCGTGTCCCTTGTGTAGTTACGGGCTACTTGTGTTTGATTTTCTGTAACCATTTTGTTGTTGTGACTTATCATCAGATTATGTTAAATACAATTAAATCTCAGTCGAATTTTGGTGAAGGGTGCCTGCGATTTCAAGATCACTCGTGAGAACCTCTAACACTCGTCAGAAACAGCAATTTAAGAACCTTTGATCATTTCAATTAGGAGCACAGTACTGTTGGATGAGCAAAGAAAACTACAAGTGTATGGATTTGAATCCACGACCTCAAGAATACCCGTACAGTGCTCTCTATACCAAGTTACACATTTTTGTTTGCAGACAATGGAGGCCAGATCCACCAAGGCGGCAACAACTGGCCCCTCCGAGGCTGGAAGCTGTCTCTGTGGGAGGGGGCATGCGTGGCGTGGGGTTCGTCCACAGTCCCTTGTTGTCAGACAGTGTCAAAGGGACTACAAACCGTGAACTGATTCACGTCAGTGACTGGTTCCCGACCCTGGGGCCGGGATAGCAAGAGGGAGCGTGCTGGTATGCCATTGGACGGCTACGATGTATGGGAGACCATAAGGTAACACTATCAGTAGAAAACCTTAATTCTTTTGGTACGTCATAACCGTCATTTCTTTTTGCAAAGTACATGGACGACCACTGGGGCAAGGTCAAAGAAATTATTATGTGGGTGGGGCTGATACCCTCTGCCGGTGTGGGCGCTGTTCAAAACCGACGATTATGCACAATATATGGTGCTTTTAATGAGTCGCATTCAAAAAAGGCACCTGTAACGGCCCATGAAAGCAAAAAGGGCACGCTTACGTTTTTACAGGGCACTTTTTTCGGGACAAAAGGGGCACTTTTTTGGACAAAAAGGCACTTGTTCAGGAAAAAAGGGCACTCTTGACAAATATTCAGGGGTAAGCGCTGGTGACAAA